CATTTTTTTCCTGAAATTACAATAAGATGAATAAAACTGATAACATTTTATATTGCATATTCACAGTATAAAATGTATTCCTCCATTTCTGCAATGGCTGTGGTTGTAAATTCACATCATTTTCCTTCATATACAACAATGAATTATTAATTTGGCTATCCTTGTATAAGCTATTATCTTGTTATGTCCCTGTTGGGATACTTTAGCAGACTGATGCCTTTAAGGTCTATGTGTACAGAGGTCTAATGTGATTGTTCTCACCACCTACACTCAGATTTGCATGCAAACTGTATATATACATGAAGGAATGTGATTTAATACGAGGGTAGATCTGGGCTTCCAATACAGTTTGCTCTGTACCCCTTACAGTCAGACTGGTGGACCTTACAGCTGGAACATGGACAAGGCTACAGCTAACACACTCCAAAGTACTCTGTGTATGCATCACACACACGAACACACATGCACACATGCCCCAGCACACATCCAGTCTCCTTGTGAAGTTTTGGCAGGGGAACTCTTATCTCTATTGGACAAACTCCTCGAATGATGGGAATGTTCTCAGGATGTTATCTAGACCGCTGTGGAAACGAGATAGCCAGACACCTTTATCACCACCCTCAGACTCTGGAGGGTCTCTGACCACTATGGTAACAAGGACCGTTCAGCTGCTTTGGGAACCCAGTCAACTTATGGCTAGAAACCCTCCTGCAGACTGTGAGGATTGGAGTGATTAAAAGATATTAAAGAGAGTCTCCTGGTTTGAGTTTAAACTACCCATAGGGATCAACTCAAAGACCATTTTGGGCTTTGCTATTTGAAGGACTGACCCTCTAAAGCCAGATACAAGAAATAGACTCAGGAAATTTTGATACGTTTTTCTTTTTTTTTTTGGACAAAAATAAAAGTGTCCTGATCATATTTGTGATTTTCCAAATGGATAAATTCTGCTACTGTGGAATAGTTTATTTGAGTGAAGTTAGAATTTTATATGTATACTATAAATATATTCAGCCCTTTTGAACAACATAGCCATTTATTGTTGCTCTCCTATGTTTGTTAACAATAAAGAATCCAGCAAAGAACACACTCATTCATTATTTATGTGTTCAACACATGCCTAAAAAAAGACACAAATATTCAGGCTGACTCTTAAGGTTTTTTAGTAATGTAGTTAATGAGGTGGCAGGCAATGAAAAACATTGTAGCTTTTGCTTGTAGCATATTTTCCCCTTCTCTACAAAACATTCATTTTGTCTGTTTAGCCAATTGCAGAGAGATTTGCCGACTTGCTTTCAATGATTGTCCTGCTGAATAACAGGAGTAATAGTAAGTCATGATCTGATAACTGGACATTCTCTTTCAGGATTTTGTGAATTAATGATTCCTCCGGACCATTGTACTACCAGAACCATGTTTCACTGTCGGGCTTTTCCCATAAAGCTATTTCAGTCTCAAGTCTAATGGAACAAGATGCTAATCAGCCTACAGAATGATTTTCTAAAAGTCATTTAGGAACATTTTTGGGAACATGTGAGATGAGCCTTTGTGATCTTCTTGTTAATTTGTTGAATTTCTTTAGACCTAGGCATAATAACTTAACACAGGTTGTGTTATTTGTTGCACAGTAAATTTTGATTGACAAACTAAAATATCCAAATGTGATGAGGGCAATAATTTAAAAAATAGCTGTAATTGGCAGAAGAATGAAGAATAACCACTGAATCGCCAGTCTAATTCTGCTACAAGTCCTATCATTATTGAATAGCTGGATAAATTGCACAACCTAAATCTGTATTTGACATAAGTAAGTCTGCTGCATACAACAGAGTATGTCAAAACAGCACAGCAGTCTTTTAGAGAGACACACACGCGCGCACACACACAATGTGCCATGGCAACACAAATCTTCTTTCTGTTGGTGTTATTTTGACTGTCTGGCAAATCCACCTCTTGTTTTCAAAGCATTTTTTGTCTCCCTCTAACAGGTGCAAAACCTCTCAACTCAGCACATCAAAGAGGCACATGCGCCTGCGAATAAATCACAGCAAATGGGAAGAATCCAGAGTAAAACCTCCTAACACCAAAGAGGTATTCAAAGTGCCTGATTTAATATTTATGAGGTACAAGGCTTTGGTGGTTGAATGCTTGTTTACCGAGATGTGTCTTTTGTCCTTGGAATGAGGTTTGATATTCCACCAAGTAACTATATTTACATATACTCTTAGTTTCTGTCTCTGGATAACATTACACACACTCGTACTTGTACAAGCACAAAGGGAGAGAGAAAGATCGAGATCTCACAGAACATGTGGCATGCTGGTCCATATTGACACATTGTTTCAGCTCTCCAAAGAGCTCTTCTTCCCTTGAGATGCATTAAAAGCCCTGCTGTTATTCTGACAAGGCTGCACAGTTACTTATTGTGATTTGTTGGAGATTTCTGTGCCAAGAAGAAGTTTTAAGTTATTGTAAGTCCATTCTATTTCACAATATTTCTGTCAGTGCCTCAGAAAATTATTTATAGCATTTAATTTTCTTACAATTGGCAATCTCACAGCCAAAGTGTTAATGCACTTCATTGGGATTTTATGCAATAGACTGTCACAAAGTAGTGTATAATTGTTAAGTTGAAAAAAAGATTTGTATTTTTTATTCTTCTAAATCCAATGCAGAAATCACCTCATTTGCAAGTCAAGTTCACTAATCGGTCATTAAATGTAAATGTAAACACGGTTGTTCTCTCAATGTGATGAAGTTCAGGAGAAAACATTATGAAAATAAACTGAAAAGCTATAATGCTATGAGAATCTATAAAGCAGTGGCATTGGTAGATTATACAACAAACAAACAAAAAAAGTTAAATCTGAATAAAAGGCAATAAGCAGTCTTGTTTACAGTTTCCTATAAACCATCTGCAGAACACAGCTAACTGTGCTCTATTTAGAGGAGACCAAATTTAAACAGTTTGATCACAACAAATGCAAACTGTTGTGTTGTAGAGAACTAAAACAGCAAACTATCCTAAACACACTGTTGGCTATGGTGGTGGCAGTATCATGCAGTGGGGATGCTATTTATTGCAGGTTCAGAACAGCTGGTTTAAGCTGATGACCTGATGTAAATGCAGGGAAACCTTGAAAAATAAATCAGACCTTGCACACTTAAAACTGGGCCACAGATTCAGCTTCCAGCAGGACACAACCCTAAGATACAGTCACAAACACAAAGAATTTTCATTTTGTTAGCATGGCCCAAGAAATGTCCAGATTTAAATCTAAATTAGGAAATTGTGTAAGGCTTAGAAATCTATCTTTACATGTCCTTCAAAACCAATCGTACAGAAAAGACAGACAAAGTAGAAAGTTAGCAGAGACCATAAAAGACTTGAAAGAAGCCAACCAAAGATGCCAAATTACAAAACCAACTGTGTCGTCTCACAATATTGCATCACTTTGTTTTGGTCTATGACACAAATGCCAAATAAAATGCATTGATGCTTGTGACTGTAACAAAAACTGAACAAGTTCTAAAGAACATGTACATAAAATATCTATTTTGCAAGGCAATGCAATGTGGCACTCTTGAAGAGTGATTTGGCCAATGCAAATAAAAATGAATATCAAGAGCAAAGTTGACTGATATTTTCAGTGTTATGATCATTGCAGTACTTTCACTCTTGAGTCCCATGGTAGCTGTGCAGCTACATTTAGGAATTACTGTTTGGCTCTTCTGAATTTACAAAGGGTCATAGTTCAGCATGGATGTGGTTAAATGAAGCTAAAACAATGTCTCAGTGTTTTGTCCTCTTAAAGCAAAACAACCTCCTACAAGGTTAATCTAGTATGTGGATGAGCTAATTACATCAGCTGAAAGAACACTGGTGAGAAAAGCCACCATCCCCAGTGAGCACTTAGAGAAAAAAAGCAGCTGGACGTAGCATTCTCTAAAGAAAAGGACTGGTCACAGATTCTTCTGGTTTTTCTTTTCTTTTTTTCCCCCCGTGGTGTGTTTTCCACAACTCTCCCACACTTCCTCTCCTCTTGTGGGAGCTGCAAACATATCCATCCATTTGATCCCCAAGGGTGAAACAAACCCATCCATTATGACTCAAATCAGGCCTAATTTATTTCACATGCTCAAATTTAATGTCGTCATGTTGATACACATTGAATTAAAATAGCTACATTCTTTTTGTAATTATTTTCCACACATGTTCCCTCCCAAAGCGGGCTCATTTCACACAGAGGTTTTGGTTGTTAGATCTCTCACGAAGCTTGGCCAAGCAAGGAACTCGTGTCCTGATGTGCGCGCCACATTAGGACTCATGCATATCTGCTGCCACCACCTGGCAAACATGGAAACTATCAATGTAATGGTGTTAAAAAAAAAAAAAATGACAGTCTTATTAGCTGGAAGTAAATTTTGACACTTTGATGATGAACTTGGGTTTATGGGCCATAGAATAATAATGAAAGAGAGAACTAATTGCTCTGCAAAGGTAAAAACTGTAAATATAAAGGTGTGTTTGAAAGAACTTTGCATTTTGCAGAAGTTTGAAGACACTAGCTATTTGAACAACAGGTCTCTCTGGTACCATTTATTAGCTCTTATTGTGGTGGCCTGTACAGCACTTTGTTCACAATTATTTAATTTAAAAAGACACTTTAAACATAGATTTACATAAATCTGTGCTTCTATAGGAAAGGTTTTAAATATTTGAGGATTATATAATTAGAACACAGCACAGTTGCTCTTAGTGTATTAGAGAGGAGAATTACATTTTTACTATGAGTCAATAAAATTTACTGTTTGGTAAAATGTAAGCAAATGTTTGTGTCTAAAGTTTAGATCTAAAAGTGTAAAGAGGTCTGAGATTCATTATTTTTAGTAGTTTTGTCAAACATTGAATTAGAATTACAGTATTACAATTTGGTTCAATTTAAACTTTATTAAAAGACAATGTCCTGGTCCATAGTTGAGATAAAATTACACAATAATACATTTTTTTTTCTTTACTACCATCTGAAGTTTTATTGAACCAACACTTACTACGAAGGTCTGTGTGTCCTCAAATTAAAACTCATTAAATCTTTAATTCCAGCCACACAAACAATTTCAACGTACGTCTGTTCGTGACCTAAATGTGTGAGGACCCCGAGGGGTCGACCGGTTGGAAGTTGCCAGCATATCCAGACTAATTGGGTCATGGGATGTGTCTCGTCCAAACCACATAAATTTCTCTGTTGTCTCCTCAAAAGCCTCTTCTGACCTCAGTTTGTGGTTTTCAGGGAACCTCCTGCTCTTGGTCGGTACACTAAAGACGTCCACTGAAGTAAAGCCAGTTTGCCTTGCAAGGAAGCTGTGTATAGGCTCGTCAGCTGAATCGTGGGCCAGACAGACCTGAGACGTGGTCTGAATTTGATCATTAGGATACTTCTTTCGTCCCACACCCTGATGTACACAAACGCAGAAAAGACACAGATGTGGAAAGGATGTTAGCATTTAGAAACGCATCCTTCGTGTGCTGAAACTAAATAAATACTCACATTAGAGAAGACTGAGATGTTAGATTTTAAGGCAGTCTTATTGTCATGACATGATAATGGATAATCCTCCCTGGATTGCTAGAAAGCAGCAGAAAAAAATTAATTGCTGTTTTTGTATCAATCTCTGGAAAGTTTGGAAGCTTTTTTTTAAGCTTATGAGCAGAGTAGCTAAACTCCAAATAATTTTTTTTGTTTGATAGACCATCTAAATTGGTCCTTAAGGGGGCGATTTTTTATGTTTGTGTCCAAATTTAATAATTTCCTGCAAATTTGCTTAAATTTGCAATATTCACCATCAAAGTCTCCAATAACATAAAAAGAAAAAAATCGCTAGTCACTTTTTTAAGAAACCTGCTAAAGGAGTCTGAAAAATCGCAAAACATAACCATCACGTATTAAGTTGGCAAACAAGTTGGTGAGGTTGTGCTTTCCCCAGGGAGTTAGTTACACTGCAGCAACTGCTCACATCTCTGTGACACATTCATTTCCTCACACTTATTTCCTCTCGTACATTTTCAAAAGGAGAAACAGCAATAAACGTAAATATTCACATTTGTTGCATGTAAGCTTTTAAACAAAACAGAAATCAATGTAAAAAGATCCCCCACCTGATTTCATCGGCTAATTTGGACAAAACAATATATTTAAATTCCTAAACACATGAACACACAGACCTGGTGAATCTTCCATTTAGGATAGCGCTTCACATACCGATCCTGAGGCAACAATTTATTAGCCTCACTCAGCATAACTCCAGTAGTTGTACAGGCTTCCCGAGATGCTAACTTTGAACAGTGTGGATGGGCAAACTGAGGACAAGGACAAATAAAACCAGAATGCATATAGTTTTGAATGTTTTGCTGCATAAGGTCAATAAAATTTACAGTTTCTCACCCACTGGCCATCCTTTTCCATACCATCGTAGCGTTTTCCACCTTTCACCATTTTGACACAGTTTGAGATGTCACTATTGAATGGTTTCAGTGGAACAAAACTCTCACTATGTTCAGCTTAATAGCTAAATAAAATTCTGGTGACCATAGAAACCTGGAACAGGCAACATGCAATCTGATACCGGATCACCATGGAGCTGCGGATCTGGAATTCTGACAGCAATACAGAACGGGGAAAGTAGTCCTGTTTATTTGCTCAGGAAATGTAAAAATAGCTTGTACATTCTTCTCTCTGAAGTTGTGCTAGTGCACGTTGCTATAAAGAAACGCATCAAACTGTGGGACAATAAAGAATAAAGGATATCTCTACTCTTAAAGAGTTACAAAAGTCAGAGCAATATGAAAAATACAGATGAGAGGACATTTGCAAATAATGTTTATAAAATATTGAGATGTGTTGGTCATTTTCAGACATTAATAAAAATAAACAAAATGAACCAAGTGCAGAATTTCTGTCAATTTTGCATGCTAGACAAAGTACTTTACTGACTCATTAAATACATTGTCTTATTATATTTATCATAAAAATGTATTTATGAGTGGCTAAATTTAACATGAGCATAGTTTTTTTTGAATGTGTGACTTTTTTTTTAAACAATATTATTGCCACAGTTATTTCCATTCCCAATCACTGGAAAATTAATAGTAAGTGAAGCATTTCTGGAATTGATATTTGATGCTTTGTGCTAAAACCTTATTTGTTTAGAATTGCCTTTGATTAATAACTGTAAAAAAGGCTTGTTCTGACATGGTTCACAACTGGACTATTACCTTTCCATTACTTCTCTTTATTCTGCCCCTTCAATTTAATGTGTTCTTTATTATTATTATTATTATTTATTTTTGTTTTTTATGTAAAGCACTTAGAACTGCCTTCTTGTTGGAGTATGCTACCCATAAACTATTGGTTTCAAAGGTTTTATGTACTGCAAAATGTGGGTTTCTTCTCAAATGTATTATTTTGTAATTATGTTAATCTTTACTCATTCCTTATTTTATTATGTTAAGTAACACAACCTACATGAATCTAAAAAAATGAATATTTTTATTTTGAAAAATTCAAGTTTTATACTCATGGTGCGTTAAATAGAAAAAGCATGTGTTTATGCATGATGACAAAAAGAAATAAAAAAAGTATCATGTTCCTTTACTTTTATTGTGGCTTCCAAATGAAACCACCAGAATATAATCAGTTTAAATCTGCCTCCCATTAAACTCACCTTGTCTGCCAAGTGTTCACTTTCTCTCAGCTGGAGTGGAAGGAGTTTGGTGTTTATGTCAACTTCCACTCCTGCTCGTTCGAAACTAAAATAAATACAACATCGATGTCTCAAAAGAACAGGTCAAACTAACCTTTTACATTAAAGATCCTCCAAAATCCGTGTGCAAATTTCAAATTGGTTCACCAGCTGAGAGACTGGAGGGAACACAGGCGTTTATGCCAAAGCAGTGATTGTCACAAACGAGGATCGTGAATGTGGAGCAATTGTTCTTACATCTATTGAAAACGCCAACATGTGGCAGTTTTTCTTTATCGTCTCTTTTCTTTATCTTCCAGCTCCCCATTGTTAACATGTAAACTGCTCCACAGTTTATTCCCGTTCACAAACCTTGAGCTGTCACAACGGGTCGACTCTGTCCTGCGGAAAAATAAATAAATAAATAAATAAATAAATAAATAAATAAATAAATAAAATAAAAATATATCTCGGAGTCATCACCAGGAGAATCTGCGTCTAGCAGTGAAGTGTAAGCAACGTGGCATTCCCTGAGTGTGGGTCAAAATATAATATAATATAATATAATATAATATAATATAATATAATATAATATAATATAATATAATATAATATAATATAATATAACTGCTATAAATTACAAAAGTTATTTAAGAATGAAGTACTATAAAAAGCTGTTGACCTGGCCGCGAATAAATTTCAGAATAAAAGCCCCTAGAATAAAAGAGAAAGCGCTCCACTTTTCTAGAAAGAACTCGTCAATGTATTTCCGGTTCACGCCTCTTATCGACATGAGTTTTTCCATTAAATATTCTTATTCTTAAAAGAATATGTAGCATATTAACGGTCAGATTTTTTTCTTTTTGCTCAATTTCCAAACAGGTTTATTTTGTATAAATAGGAAATAAGGATAGTTTTGCAGTTCGTTTTACCGTTAAACAGGAAGTCGTCATTAGCCTGTTGTCAGTGAGAGAACTGCACGCAGAGTGGCTGCAGATGGGAAAAAGGTACAGGCATCTAAAACTTGCTTATTGACTAGTGGGTACACTTTCTTTAGACTGCCAAAAGTAATAGCAAGTTGTCATTTAACTATGGGTTAACTTTAGTGCTACACTCGTATTGTGAAACCACATTTTTCCACGTTGACTGCTGTTTTCTTGAGCTAGCTTGACAGTCTGAAGTTGCCACCGACTTCATCGATGCAGTTGTGTGTTTACGTACGTTATAAAGCCATTCATTGCGTCGCCTGAGCTATATGTTTGTTTTCCAGTTGTTAGAAATACGTAGAGGATAGTAGAGAGAAGTGGAAAGACTCACTTGTCCAGTATGAGCTTGCCACCTGAGGACAGGGACCCTGGGGTTCCCATGGATAATTCAAAAGAAGATGTTGGTGGTCCCTCTTGCACAGGAGATTACAGCAAACATGTAAGTTACCAGGCTGATCAGTATTATATTGTATTTGTTGTGTTTAAGATGACATGTTTATTGTCGTGTTTTAATAAGCTGTGTGTACATTTGCTAAGTTTCCTGGAGTTGTTTGTTTAAAAAGTCGCCATACGTGTCGAGACATCCCCGAAAATCATTAAAATCTAGTTTTCTGTTCACTAACGTGGCCACAGCTGCATAGATAAAACTATATTAAGAGTAGTGTGTACCACAATTTATGTCCTGCTGTTCAATTTAAACCAGACTATTTTCCAATAGTTTGGTTCTATCTCTGTAAAATCTTCCTTTAACTTTGTGACTTTTGGCTCAAGTGGATGTGACATCAAAGTTTTATTCTAAAATTATTTTGATTGCTTTGTTGTTTCAGTTTTATTAATTGTTTTAAGTAATACAAATAAAATAAACTTAGAAGTGATAGTCAACATGACTATCACTTCTAAATTATAATCTGATATCTAATTATCTTATTTACAGGATATGACGGTATGCTTAGGAAATGGAGAAGTAAAGAGTTGCGCAGTGGTCAAGTACTCTGCTGCCCCACCTCCGACCACCTACGCCCTCCTGCAGGAGAAGACAGATCTGAAGCTTCCACCTGCCAACTGGCTGAGAGAAAACCCCCAGCTGGGCACTGCTGGCACCACTGTATTAGGCTCCAGCAGCAAGAGCAAACCGTTCTCTAGGTATCAGCATTTATTAGTCTACTGTGGAAATGCTGCAAGTTCTGTTAGTTCGAACAAGCAAAATGTGTCTTGAAAATTTGTGTGAAAATAATTTTTTAAAATAGGAGAAACAAAAATAATTTCTCCTTGTGTTTCCAGAATATAAAAATCAGATAAAGATCAGTCTTTTCTACCATATTAATTATAAATAACACTACTTAAACTACATCAAGGAAAAGTTTTATTTTGTCTGTATTTTGTACATTCATTGAAAGGAAAGACTCCTGTATGTTGCAAGTTTCCTCAAGAGTTATAAATGCTATCTCCTTTTCTAATTAAGGCTTCAACTTGATCTTGACTCCTTTTAGATCAGAACTACATCTGCATGTTTGAGGAAGAATTTGGTGCCAACTCCCTCTTCTTGGAACTAGCTAAATCCCTCCTTTTAGCTCATTTTTGTGAAACAAATTAGCAACAAACTATCATTTGGAATTAAAGTCTGGGATGTCAGTATCTTGTAGCTTTTGTAGTAGGCCAAAATAATATAATATTTTGAACTAAATCTCGTACAACTTGTAAGTACTGAAAGCTCAAGATTTAAAAAGTACATTATAGTACTAGAAATTTGGTATTTGGGATGACTGCTCTCTGAAAAAAATAAAATGTCTAGAAAGCTCTTAGGAAGATTGATTCCAACATACTGGATTACCAGTTTCTCCACAGTGTGATTTACACATAATTAGTTGTAATTGGCATCACTGCAGAACTTATTATTGTATAATTCCAAGAGTATGTAACCATCTAGCAGCTATTTTTTAAATGAAGTGCCTCAGAGTGGGTGAAGCTTTGAATAAGTGAAAAAAAAACTATCAGTGAAAAACTGTATTGGGATCTTTTTTTTTATTCTTACAGTTTTGGTATGGCCTATGACTTTATTGACTGCATTGGGGATGATGTGGATGTCGTTTCAGATTCTGAGGTTGGTAGTGCTTTTCCTTATTTTTCTAACTTGTTTTCTGAAGTATAGATATGCCCAAAACTTAGTTTTTTTGTTTTGTTTTCTGTAGAACATAAAGAAGCTTCTGAAAATCCCCTACAGCAAGTCCCATGTTAGTATGGCTGTTCATCGTGTTGGAAGGACATTGCTTTTGGATGAGCTGGACACTCAGGAACTCCTAAGAAGATCTTCTCAGGTACAGGGAGAGATGTTTTATTCAACTCCCTCAGAACAGTTATATTAATGGCAACTTCTGTTAAGTAAGTGCTGAAATGTTTTGTTCTAGACGGGAGATTGGACGTGGCTCAAAGAGATTTACCAGCGCTTAATAGATCAAAAATGGCAGAGAAAAAAGAAGAGCAAAGAGCACTGGTACCAGAAAGCTATCCTGTCAAAGTTCCTCTACTACAGGTGAGAGTTTGGGTTTTATTTCTGGACAAATAAGTTTTGCTATGCAGTTTAATTTGACTTCTAAAGATGCTTTAATTTCATTATTACGTTCTGCAGTATAAATGGTGATGGAGCTGCAGAACCTGTAACAGAAGACATGATTGAAGAGGATGAGGAGAATGGAGCCGAAGAGTACAGCTCTACATGGCCTGCTACTTTCACCAGCGCAGTGTCTGAAGCAGAAGAAGCAGATACTTCCAAACAGGTAACTTGCAACTAGTCACAAGATTAATGATAGTTCCTCAGCTCAAAGTTAGATTTAGGAAGCCTT